GCAAAGAAGGGGTTTTTACCTTAAACATAAGAGCTACATCAGACAGAATCCTATTTTCCCTCTTAGTTTCTTGAAGATGTTTCTTTCATTTGCTGATTTGTACACATACATAAGAAAGGGATCAGAATGAAAAAATGTAATAGTACTCAGCAAACCTATGTGCTCTTTTCCAATCTCTTCCACAGAGAAGGAGGGCAGTGCTTTCCTTTTATGAAGCTTACTCTGAATTTGGGCCATAGATGGAATATGTGAACTAGTACAGGAGAGTGAAAGAAGAGATAATGAGCAAACTGAACTGCCAGAGGTGGAAGTAACTGAAGGTGAGCTCATGAAAAATAACAGAAAGGACAATACTTTCTGCTCCCCAGTGGATATTTTTTCTGAAGGTTTTGCATTTTCTTTTATGACATAATTGATCTTTGCTGTTATCTTGTGTAAATTAACTACAGGGAGGTAAAAACAATCTGTAAAACTGTTAGGAAAACCCAATAAAATTGAATTACCCCAGTGTATTAGCAGCAAAGACACATTATCTGGATCTATGAGTGTAATTGACTATTGCTTTCCTCTTCTGCCTGGACAAAGCCAGTCTTAGTGGCATGTTGAATTTTTTCAAGAATACCTTATTTCAGTGAGATTCCTTTAAAAATTTTAATGTTTCAAAGATGGTGAAACAATACAATATCTTCTAATTTCTCTCCCTTCTATAAGCACCATTCCTAGAAAATTCAACCACTTCAAGTTGTTATGTCACCAGAGATGAACTTGCGTTTCTCTCCAGTTCTTAAGGCAAATATATAGGTTTCTGCCCAGAAAAAAACCCCGCATTTCATCCAGGTTCACTCCACTGGATTCCACACAGGGGAAGTTCCAGATGTCCATAGATTATCAACTCAAGGGCCTCCAATGTTGGCTCTGGAGGACAAAGTCTTTCGAGTCAAACACACTTGGCTACAGTTTCAGCTTTACCACCTAGTCTCCAGAAGACCTGGCTAACTCACAACCTCTGGAAGACAAGCTTTTGACTCCAAAATGAGAATGTTACCATCCACTGTTGCAGGAAAACAACATGCACGAAGCACACAGTATCAGGTGGGTAACACATGTAGGGCCCTAGAAAGCAGCCCACAAGCACAGACTCCTCTAGCATGCACAGATCTCTCACTGAACAACAAAGTGAAGCCTAATCTCCTATTTGCCTGAAGTGAAAGCTCCCCAGCCCTAAGGGCACTCTTCTTAACCCCACTGCTGCTGCATTCAACTGTGACACACACCAGCATCTGAGGGCCTAGGAAGTGCCGGGCAGACATGTTGGCTCTACATTAAGCCACTTACTCCTCACAACTGTGGGGCCTGTGCAGAATGTACCATCCTGAGTCTCCATTCTGCTCATTTTCACTCACTGTCCACTGGCATGAATGACTCCCTCCCTGTCACACTCATAACCAAAGGTTGAAACTGTTGTTGAGATGCACACTTTGCCTGGTGGGATCTGGGCTCTTCTCAAAGCCTTAAGCTTCTCGATAGGCCCATACAGTGTGTTCTCTTCTTTAAAATTCACCAAAATTAAAAAATCATAATCTTTAAATTAAAGAGCCAGCTCATGTTCAAGTGCTCACTCCACAATTCAAACTTATATCACCCCTGACTTCCTCACCATTTCTGGGCAAAATTAAACTCATTCTATTCTCCCTTCTCCCATGAATTGTTCCTCCTCCTGGCCTCTTCTCTCAATAGATCACAACTCCTTCTATATTGTCCACATTTTACACTACAACCCTGGCAGAGAAAATTTTCCAGAGTTAAGTCAGTGAGACGTCAGAAGTCACTGTATTTATTCTAGTCGAATTAAAACCTGCATCAAACACCAGTACTGAGGAAAAATTACAAAGAACAGTAAAGCCTAGAATCTTACCTTGATATATTTGAGGTTTTATCTAGAAGAGGAAGAAACAAAATTAAATTTGATGTCAAAACATATGATTAGTAAAAATCTATAGTTTATGATAAAATATTTAAAGAGTAATCCAACAAAATTAGAATAATCCTTTTGTGCAGCACAATTAGTTCATAGGATTAAAACTCAGAAAAACACTTCCTGTATAAATCAGGGCATGTCACAAACCATCCCTGATAAAGGCCTTTCTGATGGTGTTAAAATTGGGGGGCTGCAGTGAAAGCAGTGCTTAGAGGCAAACACAAGGTCCAGTGACTATAAACATTTCTGCTTGTTGATGATTAAAAGTGTATCTGCAAGATACTTTAGTATGTTCACCATGAGGACAGCTGTCCAGAAATAAATGACAAGTGCAGAAACTCCCAAGGTGGCAGCACCAACGATCAGCTTCCGCAGAATTGTAGAAACATCAAGCCTCAGATGGAAAGTGTCAGGCAAAATACTGACAACCTGAAAGAATATTTGAGATCATGAGGAACCTCAAACACATCTACAAAATACATGTCACAAAGAATCATCATAACCCTAAAGCAGCCTCCATGAGGTAAACACACCCCTCAACTCTGTCTTTATGGAGGAAAGGAGGGACAGACGGACTACAAAGGAGCAGGAGGAAACATTTGGGAGTGAGGAGTGGGTTCCCTCTCTTAATGTGGTGATGGTTTCCCTGCTGCACACGTATTTCAAATACCAACAAAGTGTATTCATTTCAAAGATGCTGTTATTATATATAAATTGTACCATACTAAGCTGTAGGAAAAATAATACAGAAAGTTTTAGAGGGCTTATTTTGCTTACAAACACACAGATGACAAGTATATTTTAAAATACATTTAAGTTAACAGAACCTAACTTTGGAATCATAAGCCAAGTTAAAATCGAAAAAATGAGTCAGTGCAAACTTACAATGGATGGGAAGCCTATGTCTTCCATTGTAAACTCATGAAGTACACAGGTAAATGTCTTTTCAGCATTTCCAAAAATTCATCCAAAATATATGGAAGAGTGGGAAAAAATAACCAAAATGTGTGTTAAAGATACCAAGGAGATACTAGAGAGATGTTTATTGATATGGACATAATTGAGAGAGATGGGCAGCTGTTAGTATAATACTGAGATCATTATCCCAACAAAATCAATTTCAGATTATTCTTTAGCCCAGGATTCTAGAACCAATAAGATTGTCTTTCAATGTTCATTTTGATTCTGAACTAGAGCACATAATTGCAGATTTCTGAAGTACATAGAGATTTGGATAATAAAGTAATCTTATTATGATTAAATCTATGAGAATTGAGGTTAACATGATTCCAGTTCAGCCCATAATAATTTACATTCATATTTCATAATAATAGGCCTAGATCAACAGCAACCATGAAAATTAATGTGTAATACAAATAGAAACTTTCTGGAACGTAGTCACCCAGATGTATATTATAAAAAGTACATTTATAAGTATTTTAGGATGAAATAAACACCAATATAATTCATACTAAGCTGTTAACTGAGCTTCAGTGTTGTGAAAATAAAACCTCTGTAGAAAGTAGTCTCTGAAATAAACATTTTCATTCTCAGCCCTTACAGCTGTGCTCATGGAATGTGTGCTCATGGAAACTATACACTGAATAGCCACTGTCTAAAAGGGGGTAGTAGCTCTCAGCACAATGGTCAACCTGTGGATCAAATGCACAAAAAAGACAGACATTCTGGTCGCTAACTGGCAAGACCTCCCATCATGGGCACTCGTGCTACATTTGGTAGATGTCTGGGTACTGATGTCAGTGGTTGACTCCAACCAAGATTACATTCAGTGGGTCAATAAAGCTGAGGTTCTGACAGTCAGCGGCCATCAGCAAGGGTGGAGGTGGGAAAAGCAAACTGCTGTTCCTGGGGCCACCAAATTTCACAAGACAGTGTTCCAGGAAAACAAACTACACGAGATGGACACTGAACTTGCATAGGTTGAAGGAGGATCTTGCACAAGGCTTCTGGTGCCAGTCTAAGCCCCTTCACTCCTAATAATAAGAGACCTTTACTGAAAACAACTTTATTGATGCAAGTGAGCACACAAATCCCCCATTTAAGACATACAACTCAGTGGCTTTTAGTATATTGACAAATCCTTCCTTATGGACCCTACAAACTTACTCTTTTCAGGCTTCCATCCCTCTCAACCATCCCTCTGCTCTTTCTGGACCAAGGAGTGCCCCCAGGACCCAGAAATGGATGTGGACAGCCATGGCCAGAGCCCATCAGGCTGGTCAAGAAACCTGCTCCAAGGTCCTCAGACTTCTGGACAGACTGGATTCACATTCAGTGACCCCAGGAAAAAGGTGTTGCTCAACCAGTGTGAAAGAGCCCTCAAAAAGGAAGAAAAACTGATGTCCAATGTTTACTCACATTTCTGTTTGAGTGACTGAGACACCCAAGCAGGAGGAGCCAGAAGAGCAGTGTCCCCGCCTGCATGTCTGGGACCTCTCGGGGGCCCTGGGGGCCGGGGAGGGGGAATAGGGTGTGGGGGCAGGGAAGGTGTGTGGCAGGAAGGTGGGTAGGGTGGGAAAAGGCAGGGGTTTGTGTGGGCAGGAGAGGACAGACTCAGGCTGAGAGGGGACTGAGGAGGGATCAGAGAGGTCAGTGAATCTGGTAGATCAGTAGGTTAGTAGGCCAGTAGGTAAGTCAGTCAATGGGTTGGGCAGGACACAAGCAACAGGTGAAGGGGACGCTCAGGAGCTGTTGGAGGAAATGATAGTCCGTCTTCCTCTGAGCCTTCTCCTGTTGGATGCTGCCTTAGCAACTCTCTCTCGACCCCTGCCTTCATCCCTTGTCCTTCACAATGGACCCCTTGTGACCCATTCTCCGAAGGAGAGCTCCCGCCTCTCCCCGCCACCAGGTGCCAGCCCAGGAGAAGTCCCCTCTTGAATATTCCAGGTCCTTGTGATTTCTGGTAGTTCCCAGATCAGCTCCCTCCTTTCTCTCTCTCTTAAGGATTCCACATAGTCCGTTTTGGCTGCCAAACAAATAAAGCAAATGACAGAAACACAAAAAAGATCCGAACACAAGCAGAGTGGGAGATCTTTATCAGCTCTCCTCAGCAATGTCTGCAAACAAAACATCTGTAGGGATACAGGAGATCTGAACAGTGAAGCATCTTACCTTACAGAAATACATATATACACAGAGAAATTATTACACCAGCCTTAGAAGACACATTATTTTCAAGCACACACAAGACATTTACAAAAATTAACTGTATTTGGCCATAAAGCAAACGTCAATGTATTTCATACAAATGAAACCACACAGACCATGTTCTCTGGTCTTAATTTAATTGTGCTGGAAATCAATGATAAAAATGCTAAATTTCCAACACATAATTTTGGAAATTCAGGCATACCCTTATGAATAAAATAATCAAGGTCTATAGTGAAGTGAATGACATCATCATGAAAATAGGCAATAAAATACATCTCCATCTGCCCTATGGAATCCACTTGGCGTGATGAGATTTATGGTCTCAACATTATCCCTAATTAATTTAGACAATTTAACACCTGATACAGACCTGGATAGGTCACTAGGCCAGTCTTTACATTTTGAACCTAAAGAGGGAATCCAAGCTGATCCTCATGATTCATCTCTGGGAATCTCCAAGGAATGTGAACATTTTAACAGAGAAAGTTCATCAGGGCTTCTCCCAGGAGACCTGGGGACATCAGCAGGGCAGATGGTCAGCACCAGGAGTGATGGGTGAGGAGAGCCAACTGGGTGGGCAGGGTCCAGAGACCCAGGTGATTAGGACAAGTTTCTGTCTCTGTGATCTCTCTGCTGGGCCCTGTCCTAAGCTGAGCTTCCGAAGGTTGCTGTTGTGTGTGAGTGACACAGTGTTTCTCCTACTCATTTAGGCTATTGGCAGCTTCAAAACATTGCCTTCAATCCCTGCCACCTTTCCATTACTATTTAACGTAAAGACAGCAGGAAACATTCTATCACTGTTTCAATGGAAAATCAATGCCTTTAAAGAAACTGCAAAGAAACCATAAAATGCAAGGAAAAACAAATCAAACAGGGTAAGAACAGCATTCAATTCTATTCAGGTGCTCGTCGCTGCCTAAAGAGCCTCTGAGTTGGACTGTCCTGGTTATAAAAGAAGAGGCCAGTTACAGAAGGCGTGGAGTCAGACTAGCCCAACTGAATGGGAGTGAGGCCTGGCCAACAGGGGACTAGGGACTTCCGTGAGGGGTGGGTGGGTTCACTCATTGTAGGTGAAGCAGGGCTGACGGAAGAAGGGAAGAGTGTCTAGATGCCTGGGACAGGTGAGATCACTCATGCAGCCAAGAAAGCATCCCCAGGGCCAGTGTCAGACTCCCTGGCAGGGGATCCCTTCCTGACCCCAGGATAAGGGCCAGCAGCCTTGGCTTTGAGACCCAGCTGTATTGTGGTGGGCTGGTTCCCTCCCATACAGTGGGACTGTCCATGCCTGTGTCCATAATTATCATGGGGACGTGTGGAAGCCAAGTCCTGAGCCCCTGAGCACATTAGTATCACCCCCTCCCAGGGGCAACTGTCTTCCCAGGAGTGGCACCTTAGAAGTGGTACAGCTGTTAAAGGCAACAGTGATGGCATCCAAAGGCCCTCCTGGTACCAACCTGTGCTGAAGCAGTGCCCTTTGCAGGCATGATCTCACAGGACAGCACCATCTGAGGTCAGTATATCTTTAGCCCCCATGCACAGGTGGGAAATCAGAGTGGTCAGGAGGAGGCTGTACCCAGGCTGAGAAAGGGTCAGAGGGGACTTGGTTCTGGGAGGGGTTGCTGGAAGAGGTGGGGAGTTGGGGTCTGGAGACTTCAAAGGAAGAGGGGTCAGAGAGAAGCTTTGCCCATGGCCCAGTTTTGCATGGGGCCAACCCCGCTTAGATGATGAGGCTAACCCAGGTGGCCATGGTCACACCCCAGCTCCTCCACCTCTGGCTGATATTCAGTCATTGCTGTGGTGATGATAATACAGTCCTGATGAGGTTACTGCTGGTATTGCTTGTTACTCAGGGAGGGGGTACTGCCCACTCTGACATGCTAGAGGTCCTGAGTAGGCTCCCCTTTCTCCCTCTCTTGACCTTGGGATCTGCCAAGCCCCATGCAACACCCTCACTCCAAGTGCACCTGGCCCTACCCCATGCGCCATCCCAAGATGCACCCTTCCCTGCCCATATCTGACATCTCAAGACCTAGGCATGGCCCTCCGGAAGATCCTGGCATGGGGAAGGCACCCAGCACTGGGCTTGGAACCAGGAAACACCCACCTCCATGACAGCTTAGGTAGAACAGGGCATGTCAGGGTCTGTGTACTCCATCAGCTTCTGGTGGCCTCCACTGGAGTGTCACGACTATCTGTGTGTGTGTGTGTGTGTGTGTGTGTGTGTTCCCTTTAATGTGTCATATTCTGTGTCTGCAGTTTGAGTCTGTGTGTGAACCTGTCCATGAGCCCTACACCTAAGTGCCCAGGTGAGGCTGAGGGGAGGTCTGTACCCTGTTTGTGGGGACTCTATATTCCCTGTGAGTGTGTGTGCAGTCCAGAAATGGGCAGTTGCAGATGCAACCTCTCCAAGTGTGACCCTCAGGGTCAGCGGGATGGGGACAATAGTGCTTCTCTCACCCTCAGGCCCACCCCTTCTGCCCATGATGCTCCCAGCCTCTGGTATTAACCTGGGGGTCCTATCTCAGGCCCCAAGGATGGATGAAGTGAAGGGTCAGTTCATAGGATGGAAGTCCAGGGGTTGGGAGGGCTCTGCGTGGTAGGAGGTTATAGACTGTGGGGAGGACTCTGGGCCCCCTGGATAAATCTGAAAGGAACAGGAGACTTGGAGGAAGGAGAACGGCTGGCATTGATTTAAAAGAACAAAAATGCTGGAATGTTGGCACTCCTGATGGTGTTACAAACCAGCCCTCAACTTTCCCATCCTCATCGTAGAGGGAAACAGGAACCCAGGGATTTTTTTTTTGTCCAAGATCACCATGGTTTCTGAGCTTATTGCAGATTACTTCTGAGCAAACTCCTTTCTCCGAAGTTCACTTCTAATCTTGCCAGTGATGGTTTTGGGCAGCTCTGGGACAAAGTCCACCTGATTGAGGGAAAGGAAACCCCTCCTGACTTGACATTTCCTACCAATGCCCCACCCTCCTACTTTCCTCTGTATGGACCCCTGACAGCCTAGCTCCACGTGGTAGCCTTAATGAGGTCCACCAAGAATATGAGTGTCAACTTGATGCCCTAAATGTGGATGCTGCCGTTTGATGCACTGTGACAACATGTGAAGTGTGCCCCCTCTAACAGAAGGACTAGGAATCATTGAGACTGGCCACCCTCTTTGTCCACTTCATATAGCACCTGGCAGCGACCCACATGGTGGCTGCCTCTTTATCCTGGCCCCAGGAGAACCATGGAGGACATGTGTTATCAACGAGGAACTTTCCTTATGATTAGCTGTTGAGACATTGGGACTGTTTGTTATCCACAGTAACATCCAGCCCATCCTATCTGATATACGTCCTGTTCTCTGTGAGGCAGCAGAGCCTAACATTAGACACATAAACTCTGTTGTCAGATACATGCAGGTTTGAGTTCCAGCCTTGCCTTTTATTAATTCTAATCTCAGGCAATTTACTTAGAGACTCTGGGTCTTAATTTGTTCTCTGTAAAATGGGATGGTCATGCCATCTCAGGTTGTGGAGAGAAGTAAATGAAGTAATAATGCATATAAAGCATTGAGCTCAGGGCCTGGCACACATAGTAAATGTTCAATAAATGTTAGCTATGTAACTTTGCAATATTTACTGATTGTAAAATGTTAGCAAAGTACTATTACAAAGAAAAAAAGAATAACTTTTTGGTTTCGCTATACGCTCAAATTTTGTTGCTAAACAAGTAAGACACTATGTATATTTCTTAATAAAACATAGTTGCAACATTTTTATGTTAAAAATAAATGATCTGCATCAATTGAAGTTATAGCATAATATGAAATTTCATGAATAATTTAATAATTTCTCTATTGGACATTTTCATAGGTTGTACATGGCATTTAAAACAAATGGAGTAGATTAAAAAACATCAATGTTTTACATGTTAGGGTAAATATCATCTTATTAAATTTTATTATGTGTATATATACACACACATATATATAGAGGGTGTGTATATATGTGTGTATATATATACATAAATATATATTCTGGGTTACCATATAGAATGCATTTCTTACTACAACTAATGTTCTTTTAAAGTTTGGAAGTTGATGATTTTAATTTCTTTTCCAAATTTTGAAAGATTATAAATAACCTTCTTGGTACCTCTGGGCACTCATCTGACATTTTTCTTTAGGTTAACATACCAGCTGGGTTCCTTGTGGGTTTCTGACACAGGAGAGAGTTTCTATCTGACTAAGTAGGTTGTTTCTCCCGCACCAGTAAGCCAGATTCCTGCTTCTGCAGAGAAAAATTCTGGTTCTCTTGGCCACTTGAACTTCACCCTGGCCACCCAGTGAGACTATGGGCAGGGGGCCCCTGGAACCACTCAGAGGGACCATCCATCACTCACCTTCCTTGGGTATTTGTATGGGGCTGTCATTGACTTCACGTGTTGCTGCAGCTCCTTGGTCAGCTGGTCCTTGTCATGGGACAGGAAGTTGGGGGTCAGGACAATAAATGCCTTCACCACCTGCAGTGCAGAACCAGAGTGGAGGCTCAGGGTGAGTGGCAACCAGTTGTATAGATTAAAAAGTAAATGTTTATTACATGAATGGAAAAACAAGTAGACAGTTGAGCCTTTGGAAAAGGACAGGCAAGGTTCAAATCCCAGGACTTCCAGTTTCCTCTCTTTGCTTTGGAAAATTACATAACCCCGATTCCTTCTCTGTGAGATGGGAACAGCAAGGTTCATTCCTCAGTGGGCTTATGTCAACATTCTATGAGATAATACATACCAAACATGAAGCTAGTTCAAACTTACTGTTTTATTATTATTTTTTTAATAAACTTTATTGAAGTACAAATGCGTACAATAAACTACATCTCTTTAATGTGTACAATTTTGAGTTTTTCAGTGTTATACCTCTGGGAAATCACCACTACAACCAAGACACAGAACATTTCTACCAGCTGAAACAATTCCTCATTCCCCTTTGCAGCTCATGCCTCTCCACTCCCAGCCCTACATAACATTGAAATGCTCTTATTTGCTCTAGATTACCTTGAGCTTTCTAGATTTTATGTACATGCAATCATACAAGTATTCTTTTATGCTGACTTCTTTCACATACAGTAGTAATTTTGAGATTCATCCATGTTGCACATATCAGTGCTTCGTTCCTTTTCATTGCTGACTATTATTCCTTTTATTTTAATATATGTAATTTTCTTTCTTTTTTTATTATCATTGATATACAAACTTATGAAAGTTTCACATGAGCACCATTGTGGTTACTACATTCACCCATATAATCAGGTCCCCCCTACATACCCCATTGCAGTCACTGCCCAGCAGCATAGAAAGATGCTATAGAGTCACTACTTGTCCTCTGTGCTATACTGCCTTCCCCATGACTCCTTTACATTGTGTGCTAATCATAATACCCTTTAATCCTCTTCTCTCTCCTTCCCCACCCATCCTCACCACCCCCTTTTTATTTGGTAACTGATAGTCCCTTCTTGGAGACTGTGAGTCTGCTGCTGTTTTGTTCCTTCAGTTTTGCTTTGCTGTTCAACTCCACAAATGAGTGAAATCATTTGGTATTTGTCTTTCTCTGCCTGGCTTATTTCACTGAGCATAATACCCTCTAGTTTCATCATGTTTTTGCAAATGGTAGGATTTGTTTTCTTCTTGTGGCTGAAAAATATTCCATTGTATATATGTACCACATCTTCTTTATCCATTCATCTATTGATGGACACTTGGGTTGCTTCCATGTCTTGTTGAAATTCCAAATCTTGTCTCCATGAAATTCAGATATCTTTGTAGTAGAGCTTGAAGTTGGGAAGAGTAATCCCCCCCCACTTCATTCTTCCTTCTAAGGATTGTTTTCGCTATTTGGGGTTTTCTGTGGTTCCACATGAATTTTAGAACAATTTGTTCTAGCTCATTGAAGAATGCTGTCAGTATTTTGATAGGGATTGTATTGAATCTGTAGATTGCTTTAGGCAGGATGGCCATTTTGACAATATTAATTCTTCCTATCCACGACCATGAGATGTATTTCCATTTATTGGTGTCTTCTTTAATTTCTCTCATGAGTGTCTTGTAGTTTTCAGGGTATAGGTCTTTCACCTCTTGGTTAGGTTTATTCCTAGGTATTTCATTCTTTTTGATACATTTGTGAATGGAACTGATTTTCTGATTTATCTTTAGCTAGTTCATCATTAGTATGTAGGAATGCAACAGATTCCTGTGTATTAATTTTGTATCCTGCAGCTTTGCTGAATTTAGCTATTAGTTCTAGTAGTTTTGGGGTGGATTCTTTAGGATTTTTTTTATATAAAATATCATGTCATCTGCAATTACAGCTTAACTTCTTCCTTACCAATCTGGATGCCTTTTATGTCTTATTTATTTATTTGTTACTTTAGTCACTGCCCATCAGCATAGCAGCCTTTTATTTCTTTGTGTTTGATTGCCGTGGCTAGGACCTCCAGTACTATGTTGAATAGAAGTGGGGAGAGTGGGCATCCTTGTCTTGCTCCTGATCTTAGAGGAAAAGCTTACAGCTTCTTGCTGTTCAGTATGATGTCGGCTGTGGGTTTGTCATATATGGCCTTTATTATGTTGAAGTACTTGCTCTCTATGCCCATTTTGTTGATAGCTTTTATTATGAATAGATGTTGAATTTTGTCAAATGCTTTTTCAGCATCTATGGAGATGATCATGTGATTTTGTCCTTCTTTTTGTTGATGTGGTGGATGATGTTGATGGATTTTTGAATGTTGTACCATCCTTGCATCCCTGGAATAAATCCCACTTCATCATGATGTATGATCTTTTTGACATATTTTTGAATTTGGTTCGCTAATATTTTGTTGAGTATTCTTGCATCTATATTCATAAGAGATATTGGTCTGTAATTTTCTTTTTTTGTGGTGTCTTTGCCTGATTTTGGTATTAGAGTGATGCTGGCTTCACAGAATGAGTTTGGAAGTATTCTGTCTTCTTTACTTTTTGGAAAACTTTAAGGAGGATAGGTATTAGGTCTTCTCTAAGTATCTGATAAAATTCAGCAGTGAAGCCATCTGGTCTAGGGCTGTATAGGACCAGATACAATATCACTCCAGAAGTGATGTCACCCTGAAAGTGATATCACCAGGTCCAGACACCAGACAGTGAGATCACCAGAAGCAGGAATGACAATACTAGATATGAGATCGGTCTGGAAGTGACATCATTATGAGCCTGTATATATAAGCTGTGCTCAGAAATAAAACTGCATCACTTGTCCACCACCAGTGGTCCATGGACCTTCTGATTCCAAGATTGGTTTCCATGTCTTTCTTACATCTTTCTCCGTGTTTCCCTTGATCTCATCCACTCTTCTCAGTTTCAGCTGATTTGTGGAGTTGGTGTCTGCATTGGGGTCTTCTTCCTGGCTAGTTTTTTGATTACCAATTCAATTTCATTACTGGTAATTGGTCTGTTCAGATTTTCTGTTTTTTCCTGGGTCATTCTGGAAGGTTGTATTTTTCTAGAAAGTTGTCAATTTCTTCTAGATTGTCTAATTTGTTACCATATAATTTTTCATAGTAGTCTCTAATAATTCTTTGTATTTCTGTGGTGTCTGTAGTGATTTTACTTTTCTCATTTCTGATTCTTTTTATGTGTGCAGACTCTCTTTTTTCTTGGTAAGTCTGGGTAATGTTTTATCTATTTTGTTTATTTTTTCAATGAACCAGCTTCTAGTTTCATTAATTCTATTTTATCCTTCTCAATTTTATTTCTTTCTTCTCTGATCTTGATTATGTCCCTCCTTCTACTGACTTTGGGCCTCATTTGTTCTTTTTCTAGTTTCATTAATTGTGAGTTTAGACTGTTCATTTGGGATTGTTATTCTTTCTTGAGATAGGCCTGTATTGGCATGTACTTTCCTCCTAGAAGTGTCTTTGCTGCATCCCACAAATTTTGCAGTGTTGAGCTGTTGTTTTCATTTGTCTCCATATTTTCCTGGATCTTTGTTTTTATTAGGTAGTGATCCATTGATTATTTAGGAGCATGTTGTTAAGCCTCCATGTGTTTGTGGGCTTTTTGTTTTCTTTTGCACAATTTATTTCTAGTTTCATACTTTTATGGTCTGAGAAGTTGGTTGGTACAATTTCAATCTTTTTGAATTAACTGAGGCTCTTTTTGTGGCCTACTATGTGATCTATTCTGGAAAATGTTCCATGTGCACTTGAGAAGAATATGTATCCTGTTCCTTTTGGATGGAGTGTTCTGTAGGTGTCTGTGAGGTCCATCTGTTCTAATGTGTTCAGTGCCTCTGTCTCCTTACTTATTTTCCATCTGGTTGATCTGTCCTTTGGAGTGAGTGGAGTGTTGAAGTCTCCTAAAATGAATGCATTGCATCCTATTTCCCCCTTTAATTCTGTTAGTATTGTTTTCACATATATGGGTGCTCCTACGTTGAGTGCATAGATATTTATAGTGGTTATATATTCTCTTTGGACTGACCCCTTTATCATTATATAATGTCCTACTTTGTCTCTTGTTACTTTCTTTGTTTTGAAGTCTATTTTATCTGATACAGGTATTGCAACTCCTGGTTTTTTCTTCATGTTGTTTACATGAAATATTCTTTCCAATCCCTTCACTTTTAGTCTGTGTGTGTCTCTGGGTTTGAAGTGAGTCTCTGGTAGGCAGCATATAAATGGGTCTTGCTTTTTTATCCATTCTGTAAATCGATGTCTTTTGACTGGTGTATTCAGTCCATTTTCATTTAGGGTGATTATTGATACGTATGTACTTACTGCCATTGCAGGCTTTGGATTCATGGTTACCAAATGTTCAAGGGCAGCTTCCTTACTATTTAACACTCTAACTTAACTTGCATATTACATTATTACAAACACAATCTAAAGAGTTTTTTTCCTCCCTTTTCTTCCTCCTCCACTCTTTACATATTAGGTGTCATGTTCTGTATTCTTTGTATATCCTTTGACTGACTTTGTGGGTAGCTGATTTAATTTTGCATTTGGTTAGTAATTAATTAGTCTACTTCCTTTACTGTGGTTTTATCCCCTCTGGTGACAGTAATTTAACTTTAGGAGCACTACCATATAGAGCAATCCTTTAAAAATACACTGCAGAGACTGTGGGAGGTAAATTCTCTCAACTTTTGCTTTCCGGGAAGTTGTTTAATCCCTGCTTCAAATTTAAATGATGGTCTTTCTGGGTGGAGTATTCTTGGTTCAAGGCCCTTCTGTTTCATTGCATTAAATAGATTATGCCACTCCCTTCTGGCTGTAAGGTTTCTGCTGAGAATTTTGATGACAGCCTGATAGGTTTTCCTTTGTAGATTATCTTTTCTCTCTAGCTACTTTTAATACTCTGTCCTTGTCCTTGATCTTTGCAACTTTAATTATTATATGTCTTGGTATTGTCTTCCTTGGGTCCCTTGTGTTGGGAGGTCTGTTCACTTCCTTGGCCTATGAGACTATTTCCTTCCCCAGATTGGGGAAGTTTTCAGCAATTATTTCCTCAAAGACACCTTCTATCCCTTTTTCTTTCTCTTCTTCTTCTGGTACCCCTATAATGTGAATATTGTTTTGTTTGGATTGGTCACAGAGCTCTCTTGTTATTCTTTCATTCCTAAGGATCCTTTTTTCTCCCTGTGCCTCAGCCTCTTTGTATTCCTGTTCTCTAATTTCTATTCCATTTACCATTTCCTCTAATCTGCTTTTAAATCCCTCCATTGTATGTTTCACTTTAGATACTGTATTTTCAGTCTTTCTTTCTTGAAGTCATCCCTAAGATCTTGAATATTTTTTTGTAACTCTGTGAGCATGTTTATGATTTTTATTTTGAAATTTTATCAGGAAGATTGGTGATTTCAGCTTCACTGAGCCCTCTTTCTGGTGTTTGAGGGAATTTGGATTGAACAAGGATGTTTGGATGTTTCATTCCTAGTTGAAAACTATGGAATGATAACTTTGTGTAGGCAGCATCCTCTAGTGTGCAGGAGCTCTACTCTCTGGAGCTGCCCAGCTCCTGAAGCAATGGTGGGTATCACAGGCAAGTGGCGCTGCCTGCTGGGAAGACAGAGCTCTTTCCTGCTTCCCAGCTGCAGTGCTTGCCTCCAATGTCAAGGCCATTGGGCTCAAGGTGCAGGGAGCAGCCTATGTGTTACACCCCTGTAGCTGCCATAGGCAGGGTTGCCCACTGGCTGGCCTGATGCAATGGCAGGGGCAGCAGGTTTGCAAGCAAGTGCCAGCCAGGAGGAAGAAGCAACAGGCTGTGTATCTCAGTGTGACACCTCGGGGCTGCATTGCTAGCCAGGGGGATGGAGTGCATGAAGGTCCTGAAAGTTCTCAACATGTTGGGCTGAGTGAGCAGGATGATTTTGTCCACCTGTACTTTCTCCTGAGCAACAAGCTCTGTGTAATCCTTACCCCTTTTGCAGCCCTCTCATTGTTAGGAAGTCTTTCAAAGTGCCCACCTTTCTTTTGTCCTGGAGCAGCCAGTTGTGGGTACCTGTTCTCCACAAGTGGCTGGAATCTCAGTCTCTCCGAGTATTCCACCTGTCCCTGCTTTCCAATCCTTCTAATCTCCAGAGCACCATGCAATGTGGGTTTGTGCTCCCAGAGAAGATCTCCAGGGCTGGGGATTTAGCAGTCCTGGGCTTCTACTCTCTCCCCACTCCATTTTTCTTCCTCCCACTGGTGAGCTGGTGTTGGGCCAGCTCGCAGCTTTGCTACTTTACCCTTTTCCATAAAGTCCTCTCTTTTCCCCAGATATAAGCCAACTGTTGCAGTTTCTTTCTTGTCACACTTTCAGGATTAGTTGTATTTGCTATGTTTTTATGTTATATGTGGTTCTGGGAGGAGATTTCTACTTCACTTCTCACGCTGCCCCTTCTCAGTTTAAATTTACTTTTAAACTCATCACTGTCATATTTTATCATTATCATTATCATTGTCATGTTTATAATTATTGTAGTAGGCAGTGTCCTAAGGGCATTTAATGAGTGTTGGTAATTTATTATTTTAACTTATTATTTATGTTGCCATTTCAACTGCACAGTGGCTTGTACACAGTGGGTGCTCAACTAACACTTGATGAATCTGTGAATGCATGCTCTGGAACCAGATTCCTTAGATTCCCATTCTGGTTCCAGGACTGTGATCCAGGTAAGTTATTTAAGCCCTTTAGACTTCTGGTTACTTATGTGTAAAAGGTTATGAGAGTCCTTAATTCATTCTGTTGTTGTGAGAGGGGTAAATGAGCTAGCACATAGTAAGGGTTCATCATGTACTATGTGTCATTTATAATCATTTTCAGTCACAGATGAGAACACAGACCCCCTGTGGCCATACACAGTAAGTGCAAATGTCAACCGACTGTGCCCTCCCTCCACAGGTAGCCTAAGGCTGGGAACATATGGCCTGGAAGTTTCCCTTGCACCTGCCTTCCCAGTGCCCACCCACAGAAACAATGACCTCCACATCCTCCTCACCTCTCCTTGAATCGGGTCCAGGCTGCTCACCACAGCTGACTCAGCCACTGCTGGATGTTCAGCCAAGGCATTCTCCACCTCTGCCAGCCCAATGTGGTACCTGGAGGATCGATGGGTTCTTCTTGGTCTCTAAGTAGGTGCCACGTCTGGGGTTACCCAGGATTTTGCATCTCAGTTTTAAAGGGTCACATCTTACCTTCCCACCAAGTGTAACTGTCACATGCTGTGCAAAGGTTGTATAGTAGGACCAAAACATGAAGACTTGGGCACTCATGCCAAGAAATGCAAGTCTCAGATGCTCCCCAGAACTGCTCACCTCACTGTCCCTGGGAGGGAGGATGGCCAGTGCTTTTTTCCTCCCAGTGCTCTAAGGCGTGGCTCCCAGCTTCCCCCAGCATGAGACCTCTTGGAGGCCTCAAATTTTATCATAAACATTCATCCATATCCACTGCAGCTTATTCCCCACTGTATCAGCTTTTTTTTAGAACTTGAAAATGATAAGAAACTCAATTTCTCTAAAATAGATTAAAAAAGACTTGTCACTCTAGTGTAATGTGTCCTCATTGTTCTTTCTAAGTCATATGAGGTTTAGGGACAATGGACTCAGAGCCAGACTAATTGGTTCAGCTCTGGGCTACAACCTGTACTATCTCTGAAACTTTAGGCAACTTTCTCCACTGGTCAGTGACTCAGTTTCCTCATCTGTAAAATAGGCATAGTGACATCATGTCTACCTACTAGCATTGAGAGGTGGGTTCTATAAAGCACTACTGAGAGGACTTTCACATAGTAAGTACCCAAAATGGTTAGTAGTTAGTAGCATTTATTAATTTATTTCTGTGACCTATTGTGTCCCATGCGAGGAGCACAAATGCAGAGCAAGTTTGCTCAACTAATAGGGACCAAAGTAAAGTCTTTCTTCCAGATTCCCTTAACTGTATAATGTCTAATTATGGTTCCTTCCAGACCTTCTTGAAACTTTAGTTTGATGGATTCTTCTGGATGCAGTTTGTACAGATACCCCTAAGCCATGGCACCATAGACATAGCTCTGTTCAGAGTTAGGCTGTGGGTCCCATCACCCATGCACAGAAGAATTTCTGGGCAAGCTAGGTCCCATCAGGGATCCCATGGAAGGCGATACCTCCTGGCTCAGGGTCAGCCACACCTACCCAGAGGCATTGATGACATTGTCATTCCTCCCCATGAACCAGATGTAGCCCTCTTCATCCATCGTTGCTCTGTCCCCAGTATTGTAAAAGTCCCCACACTCCACTTCAGCTGTCTTCTCTGGGTTATCCTGCAAAGAGAACAGCACCCTTTTACTGAAGGTAATGAGTTTATAGATGATAAGCCACAAACTGGAGCTCAGATTTGGCTTCAAATTCTGCTGCTGACTCTACCTGGCACCTATGCTAGTTTTGCAATCTCTCTGAGTCTATTTTCTATCTATGCTACTAGTTACTTCCTGGACAATATTAAGCCAATTTTAAGGAAAGTCAAAATAACTAACAACTAATTTTTGGGTGGCACTCCATTTGAATAAATTTTGCACTTGAGAAAAGAGCCCTTTTAATTTAATGCACTGCTCTAAGCTCAGCATTCACACAGTGCCTGGACAGATGGGAGGTGTCAATAAAAGTTTGCTGAATGAATTTTATTCTCAAAATGTTACCTTGTCTGATCCTTACAGAAAGCGTATGCAGCTGGTAAATTTTAAATTAAACTTTTATTTTATGCTAATTGTAGATTCACATACAGTTGTAAGAAATAACAAGAGAGATCCTATTTCACAGTTTCCCCCAGTGGCAACATGTTGTAAAACTATATTGTTCAGTATCACAACCAGATTATTGACATTGCTTCCATCCACCAATCTCACTCAGATGTTCCTCATTTTTTACTTGTACTCATTTTTGTGTGTGGAGTGTATTAGTCCAATGCAATTTTATCATATGTGTGGACTCATGTATCCATCACCACAGTCAAGACACAGAACAGTGTCATCATCACAAGGATTTTTCTTGTTGCACTGTGATATCTACACCCACCGGCTTTCTCTTCTCTTCCCTCATCCCTCCACATCCCTAACCCTTGGGAGTGACTGATCCACATTTTAAAAATAAAAAATAATATTGTCATTTTAAGAATATTATATAAATGGTATCTTCTTGGTTAACCTTTGGGACTGACTTCATAAGAATTGTTTCAGTATAATTCTCTGCAGATTTGTACAGGTTGTTTTGTTCACCAGTACTTTGAGTCTATTTATTGTTGAACAGTATTTCATGCTGTGGGTGAGCCCCAGGTCTCCAAGATGCTGGTGGCTGGGGAATATTGTTCAATGGTAACAAAATTTCTGTTTGGGGTGGTGAAAATTCTCTGCAGATGCATAGAGGAGATGGTTGCACAATATTGTAAATTTTCTCAATGCCACTGGATTGTATCCTCAAAAATGTCAAAAAGGGTATATTTTATGCTATATATATATATTTTACCTCAATAAAAAGAAAAGAAAAAAACAAGCAAAACTCAATGGAGGAGGAATAACATACTGTTACAAGAGCACGTGAAATGGGAAAAATAGGTGCTGGCCCTGATTTAATGCAAAATTAAATATGTCTCGAACAATAAAAAAAAGTCATTTCTTTGGACCACTGCAGTTCAATTTAACCAGATTCTCTGTGGTTGGATCCCAGCATTAATATTTTTTAAAAAATCTGCTCAGATGATTCTAAGGTGCAGGCAGGGTTGAGTACCTGTGATCCATATACATGTTACTCTGTGTTTATTTTCTGTTATCCAAGCTTAAAACTGCTCTACTGAGGATTCAGGCTCAAGCTGTATGTTTGCTTTTGGTTAAGTATCACAAGAGGTGTGGTGCCCCTTTGAGGCCACACAGGGAAGGCAAGATCACCTCCAATGGCTGCTGCTTTGGATTAAGGAGATGGAATCTGATATCAATCTCAAGGCCTGTCCATCCTTCCATGGCCAGTCTCGGAAGCTGAGAATTTCCTTTTAGTGATCACTGCTAATCTGGGAGGATTAGGATTTGTCTGATCAAGAGTTTCAGGTTTCCTTATAGGTTATTAGAGTTTTCTGTAAACTCTGGATTTCTCATTTAGAGTTTAAGGCCCAGTAAACATGGGTTTGAATCTTGGGCTTACCATTTCTTTGACATTGGAAAGACAAAATGCTTCCAATTTATAGTTTCCTCCTCTGTAAAGTGGGAATAACGGTGCCCCCAGGAGGCTCAGCAAGGTGAATAGATTTGTTCACACCCTGTTGGTAAGTGGGATGGTAGGTTTTGAAACCAGTCTAACCTTACATTCTTAACCACAGGAGATCATTGGAACCCAGGTTTGGAGGTTCTGAACCAGGCTCTTTTCTACCCCATAAATCAGTCTGTTAAGACAGGAAGGGATGTGTGGACACATTCTGAACTTTGTTTGATATTAAAACAGGCTTCATTGTATTGGACCGAATAAAGGGAGATGTGAAGTCCCAGGATGCAGAGGTGAGCCCACTCCCTTTGCTTACACAGCACCCTGCTGGGATTTCTGGGGCCCGGAAGGGAGCAGATGGGGTGCCCTCACCTCGTAGCACATGAAGAGGCCTATGGGCCTCACGGGCTTGATCCTGATGCCAATGTTGCCTTCCGTGTTGGGTGGCAGGATGTTGCCCTTCTCGTCGATGATCTGGAGCAAGAGGCCTGTGAATCCCACCTGCAGGGCGACCCCAACTGCCCCGCCCCACCCAAACAGTGCCTGACTTAGTCTTGTGACACAGCGCTGTCAGAAAGTAGAATAAAACTGTCAAAAGTCTTTGAAATCAGGAAATGGTGAAATCCATGGATATATACACATGGCAAATGTTTCTTCAGCTAGAAAACATGGATCAGGAAAAAGTAAAAGCACCAGCTGGTGGCGATCATTGCCAGGGTCCCCTCGAGGTGCTACTTTCCTGCCCACTGTGTGTGAGGCCTCTGGCTGTCATGCTGAGCTGCACCACACCCAGGACACAGCAACTGAAACCTCCCCAGGAAATCAGAGGGAAACCAGGAGAGGTGGTAGGGTGACAGCCAGGGCAGGGGAACACAGCCGGTTGTCACCTGGTGTCACACAGGGGTCCCATCCCAGCTGACCACTTAACTGCTCCCTGTCAGTGCCTTTAGGACCAGACCTGGACATCATAGGGTGGGATGCTTTTCCCCAGGGAAACCGGCTTGAGCTTCATTCCTCGGAAATTGCCACAGGTTTTTCCCTGTTCACAAAAGAAAGAGAGCTGGGCTGGCCAAGCTGAGCAGAAAGCAGCAGGAGTCATACACGCATCCTCGCCCACAGATCCATCTGATGCAGCTTAATGAGCCCTCCTGGGGGAGCTAGAATCCTGGGCTTCTAGACTCTTGGCACCGACCCAACCGTGCTCAGCAGACATTCACTGCAGGGGCGTGGCTGGGCCTGTGGGAGCTGCTGGGGCTGCAGAGGCCAGTGGGAGGGGCTGAAAAAGTAGCAAAGGAGTGAGCCTGGCACTGTGGGTATGTACTGTAGGGGATAGAGTGCCCACCGCATGCCAGGCATGTGTCCATTTGCCACAGGAAGGTCATGAGTCCTTTAACAAACATGGAAGATGTTGCACAGATGAATAGATGTGAAAGTGCTTTGAGAAATAAAACACCAATTGAGCATAAAATAAAGGAGGCATTTGTCAGTGAAAAATTTAATGCAAATGGACTGGTACGCAGTGTATAATTCTCATCCCACTGTCCTCCTGGTCTAGCCATTCAGAGACAGTCCTCAAGTCTTAACATCTTTCAGGCCTGGAAGCAGACCAATAAACTAATCATTTATCTTTTACAAAAAAGTATCAGGCAAGCATTTTGCTACAGCTCCTGCGATGGCAGTCATCCATTGTCAGCTACAAAGATAACAGGAAGGCTGGAGAAAGTGGCTCTGCTCAGCATCCAAACTGGGTTGAGCATGGGTTGGAAGTCCACACTACCACTGATCAAGGTTTCATGGTTCAAGGCATGCATGATACTCTGTGTGCCCTGCCACATGGCTGTTCAGTGACACCTTTAGGATCACAATCTGTGTGTGTGTGTGTGTGTGTGTGTGTGTGTGTGTGTGTGTGTGTACAGAAAGTATCTGCTCCCTGCTCCCCTCCTGCTAGTGTCCCACAATCCAACCTGTGTGCTGTCCTCATGAACAGCCAGAATCCATCTTCCGAGGCCAGGTCCTAGTGGCCCCCTGTGGCTGCTGCCATGGGAAGGGACAATGAAGTGGGCAGGACTTGGGGTGATGGCCTCCATGTTGCTGGAGAGAACCTTCTTTCCCACATGGCCCTGGGTGCCTTTGACTGAGATCCCACATGGCCCAGGGTGCCCTTGACTGAGATCACAGGGACTGTGGAACTATGTCCTTAGACTCCTTTTAAAGTTTTTGTCTGAGTGTGAATGGTTTTTAAGCCAATTGATCTGAGGAAGATCAGCCTAGAACCCTGGAGCCTCCCATTGTCTTCAAGCCATGCTCTGAGCACAGTGGGCCTCTGGCAACCCATGGCATGGTACAGCTTATCTGCTGGGCCTGGGCTGAGCATGTCCTGATTGGCCCAGAAGGAACCATCTACCTACTGTTTCTGTCTGTCCATAGGCCTCGTGGAGCAGAAGGCCTGTCTGTCTTTTCCATTGCTCTTGTTCCTCAGGCAGCAGGGCCTCCCCACCGGTACAGCAGTGCTCCAGGGCAGGGAACCTGAGGGTGAGGGCAGGCCAGGGGGCAGCAGAGCCTCAGGTCAGGCCTTGCATGCCCTTCCTCAGACCCGGGGTATTATGGGCTCACAGCCTTATCATATGGACAATCTCTCCTTCTGCTTTCCTTTCTGGCTCACTTTCTGGGCAATTTACTGGTGGTCAAGAGCAAGTGGAAGCCATTCCCTTCTTGGCAGCGCCTGTTAGCCTGTTAGCTTCTCTGGTAGGGGGTGGGTGGTTGTGGTGATGCTAATGGGTTAAATCAGGGAGAATCAGATTAAATTTGGAAGTGGTTATAATTGGAGGGTAAAGATGTGTTGATCAGATCTTGTCTTAGGGAGGCATTCTATGTGGCCAAGAGGGATATTTATATAAACCATAAGAGGGGTGAGGGATAAGACCCCCAGGACAGGCCTTCCATGGACAAAGGGGTTCATACTAAAGGGCTTTTGTTCATATTTTGTATTCTGTATTTCTGAGTGAAGAATGCAAGTTAAAGATTGGAGATCAGTTGCTCAGGTCATCAAGGATGACTGGGCTGAGTATAGGGAAAAAGAGGAGGAGGGTCACATGTTACAGGCCTGAGAGAAAGAATTTCAGAGAGAACAGAAAAGTCTGTAAACATTTGTAGCAAAGTCCTGCATACTTGGTAGCTGTGTGATGAAAATTCTCTCCTCCATTTTTTCCATGAAATTTTCCATAAATAATGTTCTCATACATAAAAGCAAACACAAAATAATGATGGATTCCCTGAAGGAAATGGGGAGAAGTGACTGAGGTCTGAGTACCAGCTGGCATAGGGCTGAGCTGGGCCAGTTCTGTAGGGGGCAGGAGGCAGCAGACCCCTGGTTCCCCTGTCCACCTCCATCACCCTCGCCTGTTATATGCAGGGTCAGGGCTGATGGGCAGGAGGACTGGTTTTATTGAGGGCATCTTTCTACTTTTTCTGGAACTTTTCCAAATTAAGTAAAGTGGACAAAGTCTCTGACAGAGTCATTAGCTATGCTCTGGTTGGATTTTTACTGGATGAGGAATACTGCAAAACATGCTGTGTTTAGAGCTTTGAACTGTAGATGGAAATCCACTGAGAATGAAGCTTCATGAACAAAATCAAGTTGTTACTTAAGTTAGTTTGGAATGGTAGTCATTGAAATCCTTGACATTTTAATTGTTCAGTGTAACACATGTTAGCTCTGACTTTTGAAGTAGCCATTTCAATCTCAGAGTCTCTAAAAGATAAACAAATGCCCATATGTTGCAAAGAACAGATTTCAGTTTAGCTAAAAATTAACCTGCAAACACAGGGAAATGCAAAATAAAACTATAGTGAGATAACACTTGGCATGTATCATGTTACAAATATTAAAAACTCTGACAATAACCCATATAGCCAAGGTTGTAGAACAATGGGCATTCTCCTGCCCTGCCAGTGCATGCATAAATTGGTTCGATTCTTTGGAAAATAGGGTGGCAGGATGCACTGGCAATGTGACTTTGTCTTTCCTTTCACAGAAAAACACTACAGTAATGCATGCTTATATCCTTACTTTTGCAAGAATTCGTGCAGCTATAGCCTGAAATGAAAATTACCCAAGAGTACCTTAATGGTAGAATTGATAAAACACATGGTATTTTCATAAAATGGGATATATTGTATAGCAGCAAAAATGAACCACAACAATATGTAGCAAAACAGACACACACACCTTGGAAACACAATGTTGAAAAATGGCCAGATATTACAGAATAATGTATGGTTGCGCACATAAAGTTCAAGAGCAAATAAAACAGAATTGTTTGTTTAGGGATATTTCCTTAGGAAATAAACTATAAGGGAAAATGAGGAATATCATGAAAGCCAAGATAGCAGATTCCTTTAGGGGAAGGTAGAGGCATGAAGAGGTCCCTGGGGCGCTGGAAGTGTCCTATTTTTATGACTTGGGTGAGTGGTAACACAGGGATTTTATTTTTAACAATTCATCAATCTGTAAATTTATGTCTTACATATTTTTCTCCATGTTCTTTCACAATAAAATTGTTAAAAAATTAAACCCTCGATGATGCAAGGCTCATTGAGTGTTTCTTTCAGATCTCTGAGTCCTGCTTTAATAAACTAATTAGAGTAGTTTATAATTATCACCACCAACACACACTTGCCCCCCACCCCTACCCCCCATCCGCAACACACACTACCCTAAAAGGAACAGCTGAAAACAGTCAGACCACGGTGCATCAGATTCCTTAAAATCCTACCCAAAGATTGTCATTAGCAGCCACACCCACTTCTATACCTGGTGAAATTCTGCTTCAGAATCGATCGAAATACAGCTGGCGCAGCAAGGATTTGGGTGATGGGGTATTTGACCAATGTCTACAAAGTGAGGAGAGAAGGCATTTTATTTTTATAGTTACGATGAAAAATATTGCCCACTTGTTGGCATATTAATTCTGATGTCCCCTTTTGGAGAGCCCAGTTATTCATTTGTTAGTTCTTTCAATGCACCTATATTGAGCCTGGATTTTGTACACGGTGTGTGTCAGGTACTGAGGAAGGAGAGTAAGATAAAGCCCCAACTCTTAGGAGAGTAGGTACTGATGGAGGAGATAAAATAGGAATCAGGTGATAAGGCAGAAACGGTAGCTGTCTTAAGAGAAATCTGAAAGAAGTTCTGTGAGAACATAGCAGAGGAAATAATTCTCCTGAATGGGTGATCCAGGGGCTTTACTAGAACAGGTGGCATTTAGTTGGGGTATTTAACAAAAGGATACAGGTCTGCAGGCAGAGGAATGGAGATGGCTCTTGAAGACAGAAGGAACAGCGGGGGCAAAGTCATAGAAATTTTAAGCCAAATAATATGATTTATTGTAAATTTAGGAATCTGGGGGTTAGTAGGAGCCAGATTATTTAGGGTCTCAAATGGCCGGTGTTCTCTGAGTTTCCAACCTGGGGAGGTGATGCCAGGAGAGCAAAGAACACCAAAGAGAAGAGACTGTGGGCCTGGGGTCGGCCTGCCTGAATCCCAACCCTGCTGCTTAGCTTCTCTGCAACTTTGTTTCCTCATCTGTAAAACGGGAATGTCCCTATCTCCCACGTAACACTGGGCATTTAGGGGTCTGCCTCCTCTCTCACTCCCACCCTTTCCGAGCCTAGTCACCTTCTAACCTCTGGCTTGGACTTCTACAGTATCTCACATTCTTATCCTCTTAAAAATTTGGGCATGCAGCATGGGGTTGGTGACTGGTGACGGACTTAAGCTGAGCCACTCAGCTTCCTGCCAGTGCGGCCTGGTCATCTGGAGGGAGGGACGGCACCCCTGGAAGGCTGCCGTTGCCAAGCTGGCCTGCCAACGAGGAGGGAGCAGGTCTAGAGAGGAAAGCAGAGAGGCCACCGGGGGTCGGCCTCGCGAGACTCCTGGTGCCCTTCCCGTTCCTGCTGCAGACCCTGGTCAGGCTCAGCCTCTCCTCCTCTCCTCTAGCACCATGACAGGCTGGACCAGAGTCCTCCCTCCCTTATTCTCACGGAGAACACCGAGCTGCGTGGGGTGGTGTCCGGGGGTCGTAGGCAGCGGAGCGCTGTTCATACGGAAGAGACAGCAGCCGTCCCAGGTCTTGCCCGAGCCTGGTGCTGAGTCACCGACTATTGTTTCTGGCTATTGTTGTATAAGTTGTAATTCGTGACTCATCTTGGTGATTTTTCAGAGGAGGTGCAGCTTTTGGAGGCGTGCAGAGCAGGGAGTGGGAGGTTCTGCAGCCCCTCCGGGCAGAGAGGAAGTGGAGGGAAAGGGCTGTGGATCTGAATAGTATTTAGCACTCCTGGTTTTAGTCAGTATCTCCCATCTTTGATAAAAGGAACTGAACTAGAGCATTAAACATTTTATTATTAAAAATTCACAGAAGTACTAAGTGGAAAATAAGTCAAAATAATAATTTGGGACACCCCACACAGTAGGAGGGAGTTAGACCTGGTGGTGGAGGGAAAGGTGGATTCAGTGTTGTTTTTTTCAAGTTTAAGCCTCAGGGACTGGCAGTGAACTCTGATCTGGGGATGGAGCGGGATACGGGAAGTGCACTGAGGTGCCTGATCGCAGGGACTGGAGACCAAGGGCAGATACACAAGAGGGAATCAGAGAAGAGCACCGCCAAGGTCCAGCTTTGAGAGCCACCTGAGCTGATGTACTTGCTGGTGAAATGGAAGAGAAGGGGAATGCTTAGGAGGGGAGAGGAGAGGTCAGGGCAGGCCCTTGGAGGGGTGCTCAGGGGTAGGCTGGGTGAAGAGGAAGAGGCCACAGCAAGCAGAGAACATTCTAAGGAGAAGTTTGACATTAAGGGAGGAAAGACAGACAGTGTTGGCCCAGGGGTACAGGGTGAAGGGCAGGCATTTTCAGGATGGGGACCTTTGAATATGTCTTTGGTCTGAGGGAGTAGAGCTCATGCAAAGTAAGAGGCTGAAAATACAGGAGAGAAGGTTTACTGGATTAAGAATTAATAGCGTGGAGCTCCAAACAGAAAGGCAGGGACAACAGCAGTTGTGGGGAGAGGGCTGGACTTTGACAGGTGGAAGGGCAGGTCTGCCTCTGAGATGGAAAGCAAGGGTGTCAGTGGAGAAGACACAAGGAGAATTTTCAGGGGAAGGAGTCCATGCAGGTGACTTCATTGATCATCACGATGTAGCCGTTTAGCAGCAACCTCTGCCCCTTATTGAGTGTTTGCCATGTGCCAGCCCCAGAGATAAGCACTCTGCACACTATCAAATCAATATTACCAATGGTTTTCTGGTAGTAACTATTAAAACTCCCATTTTACAGATAAGCAAACTGAGGTCCAGAGTGGCAAATAAGCCAGTAATAAATGTCAAATGTGGATAAGAAAGTAGATTCATCATATTCCAAGGGCTCTGTTTTTATTTAAACACTTATTAAATTGAATAACAACACACATGCAGGCACACACGCACGTGCACACACGTGCTCCTGCACACACACACGCCAGCTTCCTGGCCCTGGCAGAGCCAGGATCAAGGATCCAGAAGACCTGAGCTAGTTCTGGTTGCTTTCATTTCTCAAAATCTATATTTCAGGTCCCAAGTCCCCAGAGTCTGAGCCATAGATCTGGAGAAGGGCTTGGAATATACATTTTCTTCAAGGTTACATCTTGATATGATTCTGACACAACAACTGATTCAGTGCTTCACATTTTGAGAAACCCAGAACTAGGGTTTTATTATGCTAATGGGTTCTTGGCTAAATAAAATATTTCTCAGCAGGGTTCAGCTTTTGAATTACTTGCGGGAGTTTGTTGATATTGGCAACTTACAGTCTTCTTACCTCTACAATGACCTTGGGGTCAAACTGGGGCAGACGATGGATGAAGACTGTAGCCCCTGCTGTCCATGGTTCAAACAGGCACCCCAAGATAGCCAGAATCCAGCCCGGGTCTGCCATGCACCACATGGTATCAGACGTCTTCAGCTGCAGCAATTTCCTGCTAACTCCAAAACACAGTGGCCTCAGTTATGTCAGCACGGGAGGAAGTGATCAGGGCTGGGGACTCTGGCTTTCCTGTCCCTCTTAGTTCATTGGGTGTATGTGGGGCTCTAGATCCATCCCTTCCCCAGGTTTCAAAAGTACGCGAAGTCATATTTCCTGGTCATGTTCGACTCTAACTGGCTCAATTCTAACGATCCTTAAGGCTGGGGATATTGGACAAAGTCTGTTGCTCTTGTTCTGGATTTGAATGTGTTACTGAGATAGTCCAGGGTGATGCTGGCAGCTATTTTGGGATAATAAAGGGTGAGCCTTTCTGAGAAGAGCACCAAAATAGAGCAGAAAGAAAGCTGACAGATGGAGAGATAAAAGCCCAACCCAGAGGCTTTCCAGCTCTGTCCGTAGCCGAACCCTGGAGCACCCTGCTTCATGATCCTTTCCTCACTCTTTGGCTCACAGAGGTTTTGACATTTGTGATGGGAAGAGAGAGAGAGAGGCAGGCCTAATTAATACCCCATCTTGGCAATGGACTGCAAACAATTAGCCAAAAGCAATAATTGGAAGAGGGAGTGGAGGAGGCTTCTCATTTCTCTCCCTAATGCTCTTCTGAGGGACCTCTGAGCACTATAACGTCTTGAGAAAACACACCTGTCCATTAGCCAACAGTGGCTTTGAGGAGGTTTTATGTTAGAAGAGAGGGGCTTTGATAAGCCATCCACACTCCCTCATCCCATTTCTCCTAGGACTGTGGCTCACCCTCAGGAGGTTACCAGTCAGGAGGACCTCTCTTCTGACCCTCAGACCCAAGAGCCCACTGAGCATCTCCTCTGGGGTGTCTCTCAGGCACCTCAAACCCAGCAGATCCTGATCTCCCCTGCCTCCCTTGGACGAATTCTTTCTGCCCCATTGTTCTCTATATTTCAGTGATGGTTCACCACTGCCCACAAACCTATCCAAGCCTGAAATCTGGGAATCAACCTGGACTCCTTTTCTTATCTCCCACCTGTGGCAGCAGATCCTGTCCATTTTATTTCCTAAAATCTCAAATGTGTTATATGAGATAACCACTATTTGGGTTTCTCCAAGACCCTCTAACTGGTATTTCTAACTTTATTTTAATGTCTTCCAACCCATTTCTCATCTTGCAGCCACAGTGATTTTTTTAAAAAATGCAAATCTAACCAGGTGTCTCCCTTGCTAAAACTTTTCAATACATCCTTACTGTTTTCATAATAAACTCCAAACTTTACATCAAGGCCCACATGACCCTCCATGATCTGGGCCCTGCTCACTTTCCCAATTCCTCCAGTCCACCCCTTACATGACATTCTGACCATCTGCTATACTCAAGTCTCTGTAGTTGTATGAAAGATACTTTTTATACTTTCGTGTCTTTGCTTTATTCAGACTGCACAGAAAGCCCTTCCCTTATTCCCCCACCTTCCTCCAGGGTTTTGCTACTCAATCCCACCTTAGCACAGATGCCCACTGTTCACAAGAAGCCTTCCCTGCCCCACACCAATCTGGTTAATAAATTAGAAAATACATAGAATTTGGTCTGGTCTGAATATTACTAGTCGAGGGAGGGGCAGAGGGTAGAAGAGGTTTGGCTTAAAATTGATTAAATGATTAACCCATGGCCACAGCTTCAGCCTCTGTGTTTGTTCTAGGTTAGGGGCCATGGCTTGTTTCCAGCTATCATTTTCGCTAACAGAGCATGATTGAGAACTGCAAGCTTGCTTTATCCACACTGGGTGAGAGGAGAGGACCTGTCACCTCATTTGACGTTGTTACAACCTTCTGTCTTTCCCCACTGAACCCTGGGACTACAGGCAGAAACAATGGCTTGCCTTTGGGTGGTCTGCTTGAAAGCCTGCTGCCCACCCTCCCACCCATGCACTTCCTTTGTCTTTCAGAGGCATCAGTCTGGTGAACCCTTAGGATTCCGGGCATTCACCCCTCAGACTCTAGGCAGTCTGAGCCAAGGAGAGCAGACGGGAGAAAAGGATGGAGCCAATTCTACTTAGGGCTGCTTCCCAGCAGACAAATGCGCGCACACACACACACACACACACACAGCATCGGATCTGTGCCCCGCCTCGGCATCAGTGCTGTTTCCTACCATGATGGGAAGGAGGAGTGGAAGGCGAGTCCATGGTTGTGTTTTGCCATCTTGGGGAGGCCTGTGGTCCCACTGGTGAAGAAGATGGCCATTGGGTCTAGGACTTTTGACTTAATACAGATGTGATCTGGGGATGCTGATCTGCGAAGGAGAGAAGTCATGCTTCCCACCCTCGGGGAGAGCAAAGGAACTGATATGAGGCTTGGAGTCAGACGTGGATGACGTGGATACGTAGACTGACATTTCATTTGAAAAATGTAGAAAAGGCAATGGATTATTTTTAAATCTTAACAAACATTGAAATAGCACTTACTGTGTTTCACACAATGCTCTAAATTTTTTACAAGTACAAACTTGTTCAATCTTCAGAGCAACCATAAGAGGTGAGTACCGCTCTTATGTGCATTTTGTAGATGAGGAAACTGAGACCCACAGAGATTAGGTTACTTGCTTGAAGACATGTAGTCAGCAAATGGCAGAGCCAGGATTCAAACTCAGTCGGATCCACACACTGTGCTCTCAATCACACTGTTAAGCTTGTTTTTCATATGTAACTAGCTCCTTGCAGGAATTTAACCTCATAACCTTTGTAATGAGGGGAGAGGGACAGTAACAGTGAAAGAAACATATACAGATGTGCATGTGCTCTGGCTTGAGCTTGAGGTGGTGGGGAGAATCTTACTTACCTCAGTCTGCCTTGATTTTGGGAGTTTCTCCTAGATTGAGAGTTGCTTGGACCCACTGTGATTGTAAATGCAAGCTTCCTATGTGATCAGTCAGAGAAACTGCAAATAGTTCTAGTGCTGGAGCAAACACGAGCTTGCTGAGAAATGACACCATCCCAGCTCTGGACAGTTTAAGTGAGTTTTAAGAGTAGGCTTTATTTAAGCTAATTTCGCTTCATTTTCTGATTTTAGAATCCAGGAAGATGTGCCTTCAGTGTAAATATTTGCCCTTTGGGGTTGATATAGAGCTTAAAAAATTGACAGGTTACTTCAAGAAAACAAGCCCAGCATGGTTTGTGTGTAATATGAGAAATGCCAGAAGGCTTGCAGAATTCTTGAGCTGGAGGGGTCTTTCCAAATTCAACACTTTCCTAACTTTGCCTGCAAGGTATTCCTAAAGGCACCCAAACCTTAGGAGATGGAAAGTGTTTGCTCTCCAAGCTGGCTGCCAGTCACAGCCTTGAGACTTTTTCTTGCAATCTCAAGTTTTACCTTAAAAATTCATTTTAATCTTGTATCCAACTTCTTCATATATTTAGTTTTTATAAATACAGTATTTCAGAGCATAGGAAAAAAATCTCTTGAATGCAAAATGAGCAACTTTTCCCTGAACATATCTCCTCAGGCAAGGAAAACAAAATCAAAAGTGAACAAGTGGGACTACATCAAATTAAAAAGCTTCTGTACAGCAAAAGACACCATCAGCAAAACAAAAAGACACTCTACAGTATGGGCGCATGTATCTGTCAACGATTTATCCAACAAGGAATTAACATAAAAAACATATAAAGAACTCAAATGCCTCAACACCAAAAAAACAAATAACCCTGTTAAAAAATAGGCAGAGGACCTGAACGGACATTTCTCCAAAGAAGAAATATGGATGGCCAATAGGCACAGGAAAAGATGCTCCACATCACTAATTATCAGGGAAATGCAAATTAAAACCACAATGAGATCTCACCTCACATTAGATAGAATGGCCACTTTCCAAAAGACAAGGAACAAATGCTGGCAAGGATGTGGAGAGAAGGGAGCCCTCCCACATTGTGCTGGGAATGTAAATTGGTTCAGTTGCTGTGGAAAGCAATATGGAGGTTCCTCAAAAAACTAAAAATAGAAATACCATTTAATCTAGTCATTCCACTCCTAGGAATTTACCCAAAGAAAACAAAATCCCTGACTCAAAAAGACATATACACCCTATGTTTATTGCTGTACTATTTACAATAGCCAAGCTATGGAAGCAACTTAAGTGTCCATCAGTAGTTGAATGGATAAAGAAGAGGTGGCACATATACACAATGGAATATTATTCTGCCATAAAAAGAAAAGAAATCCTGCCATTTGCAACAACATGGGTGCATCTAGAGGGTATTATGCTCAGTGAAATAAGTCAGGTGGAGAATGACAAATACCAAATGATTTCACTTATTTGTGGAGTATAAAAACAAAGTGAAACAGAAGGAAAGAAAAAGCAGTAGACTCATAAACACTGAGAAGGGACTAGTGGTTACCAAAGGGGAAGGGTTGGGGAGTGTAGGCAGGGAGGGAGAAGGGGATTAAGGGGCACTATACTTCACAATCACAACATAGGTAGGTCACTGGGACAGCAATACAACATGGAGAAGACAATGACTCTGTAACATCTTACTACATTGACAGACAATCACCACAATGGAGGGGTGAGGGCTTGATAATATGGGTGAATAATGAAGCACTGTTTTGTCTATGTGAAACCATCATAAGACTGTATATCAATGATATCTTAATAAAAAAACAGTATTTCAGATTCCCCACCTACAGTGTAACACAATAACCCTGACTTTACACATCTACTTTGCAGAGGGGTGATTGCACTTTAGTGACAGAGTCATGAAAGTTCAATTTCCTTATTTTACAGATCAACCAATTGCAGCCAAGAGAAGGGAAGGTACTAGCCCAGGGTCACACAGCAAATCAGTGAAGATCAGAGAAGAGGTTCCTGGGTCAGACCTGGTGAGCTTCAGTACTTGTCCACCAGCATCTGGGAGTGAATGGCCTTCTGCCATTTCTCAGAGGGCACATTCATCAGGCCATATACTCACTTAACCAGTGATCGGAAGTCCAGCCAACCTTCACGGCTGTGGTCAGACACCAGGAGCTTCGTTTTCAGAGCAGGACACTCGGAAGCCACCGAGTCCACCTCAGGGGCAAGGGTATCCGTAGTCACAATGCCCTTGGCTTTGGACATCTGTAGACGGTAGAGAATGTCCCTGGCAGTCAGCTGGGTGGTTCCTGGCATAAAGGTGATCCCTGAGGATGAGAAAGTGGCCTGTCTTTCACAACCAGGGGCTTCAGGCCTGGCTTATGTGCATAGAAATCCTCCAACCTGTTGCTGTGCAAATTATGCTCTTAAGACCAGTAGCACCATCAGCACCACCAAGGACAGGGTCCCACGCCCCCACCCAGTCCTACTGCAGGGGAATCTGCATTTTAGTAAGATCTCTGAGTGAGTCCAACACATGTTAAGATTTGAAATGCGTGCCCTAAACTTCCTACTCTAGATGGATCTAGCCAGCAGACAGGTGGATCCTACTTTACACACCTTTGCATGGGGTTTGGGAATACAGGTGTGCAAGGACGGTGCCCCTGACATCAGGAACACCTGCGTTCTTGCCACATTTTTCTCCCCAATTCCTTCTCTGTCAGTCCCTGTGTCATCTTGAATATCATCATCTCTCCTTCATTCTTCATATCCAAGTTCAGCCATTGTCCTCTGAACTGTCCTCCCTCCCCTTCCATTTTCCATGACCAACAATTAGTTCAAGCCTTCATGGCCCTGATTTGATTCTAATGTCTCCACTGATGCCCTGTCCTGAACCCTCCCATTACCCATCTTCCACATTATCACTGGCTCATATTCCACAGAGCAATGACTTTTCCCCTCCACACTTCTTCCCTTCACTAACGTCTGTACCCTCTCTCCAGAAATGCACCACAAACCTGACATTGGCAGGCACTGCCCATCCTTCACCTTCCTCTCCCACAACTCTATTCTCTATTTCAAAATGGCCTTTCTTGATAAAGGTTACTCCTGACGCTGAGTCTTTGCATATGTTGTGCCCACGTTTGGAATTTTTGCTTCTACTCGTCTTTGATTCTGCTTATCCCAGAGGGCTCAGACCACGTCTTGGACTTCCATGGGCTGTGTCTTAGCTCTACAGATGACACAGCATCTCTATACTCCCTCTGCTGTTGCCATTAATCCTTGACTCCAGGTGACCTTGATAGATCATGATACATTAATCAATGACTTTATCTGCAAGAGAATATGAACAAGAGCATGATAGATTGTTGTAAAAGCATGCATGATAGAACTGAAGTAATTCAAAATAGAATCCATGACTGCCATACGGATTCCAAATTGTATAGATTAGTAGAAAGGCAATTAAAAGGGGAAGGAAAATCTCTAAAGAATGTTGGTTAATGAATGTAGAAGGAATGATATAAATAGAAAATCCTCATATAAAGCCACCATAAAATATTCAATTCAGTCAACAATCACCAGTGGATTCTCAAACCAGAGGTGAAAGACAGCTGGGAAACAGGATACCATACACCATCTCCTAAGAATTACACCACAGATCACTTACTAATTACAAAGGGAAATGGTGCCTTTTTGCAAAGGTAGATAGATACCACCTCTCTAAAGTGATAAAACAACTTCCTGTAACCCCCTGATGTTGCTCTGAGAAAGACACAATATTGCCCTTCTTGGACTCCTGCTAAAAACATTTAACCTCAATCCAATCATGAAGAAAGTCAGAAATGTAAATTTGTAGGGACCTCCTGCCAAAGAACTGGCTTAGACACTTGAGAAACGTCACTGTCATGAAGAAAAGGCTAGAGAGACATCCTGGACTAAAGGAGGTTGAGGACACACGGCAACTTAACCCGATCCATGAGCCTCAGCTGGATTTGGGTTTAAATAAAAAATTGCCAGGAAGGAGATTATTGAGACAATTGAGGAATCTGGACTCTGGCTGTATATCAGGCAGCTACCGTGTGTCAATGTCAGCTCCCTGTGTGACAGCACTGGTGCAGCCACATGAAGGCATGTCTTGGATCCTGGCAGATGCGAGGTGGAGGTGCAGTGTTTCCAGTGTCCATCCGGTGCTTATGGGTGTCACTGTGTCTGCAGCTGATTCTTAAATGACTCAACAGGGGCACGGGGCTCAAATATGGGAAAATGTTAACACTTGATGAATCTTAAGAGAAAGTAGGAATTCTGAGACTGTGGAAGGGAAAGTCTGTGTGCGTATGAAGGAGAGAACTATGACATTCTGTTTGACAGTGTGAGTGGGAGGGATGGTGTGAGAAGGAGTAAAAGAATATTTGAGGGAGACTGAGAAACAGAAGGACTATGAAGAAATAAGATGGTCAGAGAAGAGAAAGTAGCTAATATTCCAGGACCAGCTGGCCCCAAGCCAGCCATGAGGTCTCCTGGCATCTCTGAGATACTGACCTGTTCGCATGCAGCCCATGGTCACCAGCCACCACTCAGGCACTCGGGGCAGAATCAAAGCCAGACGGTCTCCCGGCTGCAGGCCACAGGTCTGCGTGAAGACGTTGGCCGCTCGGCAGGATAAGTCAGTCACCTCTCTGAAACTCCACTTCACTTCATCCCCTTCGTCATTCACCCACCAGAGGGCTGGGCTGGGACCTCTCTTGCCCTCCTGGCCAAGACCATACACTGTGAGTTACTTCCTGCTTCAGAGGAAAAGGGTACTGACTTGGCCAGTCCATTACCATAGTCAAGTTCCAGTATGAGTGTAGCTCAAGCACTGAGATACCATTTTGAAGCATTTATAGATGCAAGAGAAGATGGGGGTGGGATGTGATCCGGTTAACTTCTCTATGGTAGCCACCTGCTCTGAAAACTATTCACGTCATGAAAAACAATGAATAGCCCTTATGTCACTTATTGAAGACTTAACATTTAATTTCCCCATGTGTCTGTCTTAGTTCCATTTGAACAGTAGGGTAATCTCTGCCCCCTGTTTTCTCATCTATGAAATGGGTACAGTAGTACTACCCAGAAGGTAGTAAAGTTTAAATTAGTTATTTTGAAAGGTAAAGTGTGTATGATGGTACCTGGCACACACTAGGTGCTCAATAAAATTACTATTATCATTATAGCAAAATAGCAGAGGCTAATTTAATTCCTGAATATCTGGGGGAACTTGTTTTAAATTAAGGTGCCTGTAGAGGTGAAATCATCAAGAAGGCAGATGAGGAAGCTCCAGGCCCTCATTCCCTCACAGAAACATCAAGTAACCAGATGACAATAGCTCTGTATTTTCTGCGGCAACCGACAAATGCCCAAATAATAAAAAGCCATACCCAGAGTGGTGGGACACTTTCTGTTGTTCTGATCCCCTCACACTCTCTCTGGTGTGGTGCAGTGTGGCTGGGAGGAAGCCACCCATTCCCAGTCCCTGCCTTGCAGCAGAGGGGAAAGAGTGTGACTTGTCTGCAATGTTCTGGCTTGTCTGGAGGCTGCCTGGAGGACAGGTTTCTGTCCCATTCGACTTGAGGTTCAGATAGGAATGGTGACACGGCTTGAATATTAGGTTGGAGGTTTCTGAAAGCAGTGGCAGATGCCACAGTGTGTGGGAACTGTAGACCTGTGGCTAGAAGGTAGTGGGGTTATGTATTTTAAGTGATGGAGGAAAACACCCCTAGCAACCAAAACTTATATGTTTGGCAAAACTGTCCTTCAAAATGAGGGAGAAATTAGGACATTCTCAGACAAAAACTGAGGGAGTTCATTACCACTAGACTCACTCTATAAGGAATCTAAAAGTATTCCAAGTTGAAATAAAAGGGCATTGTAGAGTAACTAAAATATAAAAATATAAAGTGATTTGATAAAGATAAATACATAGACAAATATGAAAACATATGTTAATTTTGTTCCATAATTCTTTTTATTCCTTCACAATATTTAAAAGACAAAAGCATAAAACATTATAAATCTATGTTAATGGGTGTATGATATATAAAGAGTAATTTGTGACATCGATAACAACATGGGGAGGTGAGATGGACCTGCAAAAGAGTAGGGTTTTTGCATGTGAATACATTTAAATTGTTATGAGGTTATAAGCGGGGAATAGAGGGAACTCTCTCAGCATGACAGAGGCCTCTGTGGACTACCCGCAGAGCGAAGGAACGCGGCAGGGTGACTGCTTTTGCTACTGCTACTCTACAATATTCTGAAAGATCCAGACAGATCAGTTAGGCAGGAAGGAATCAAATCTGAATCGGAGCGGGAAAAGTAAAGTTATCTGTTTGCAGAATGACATGATCTTACATGTAGCAAGCCTAAAGGAATCCACAAAAAATTGTCGGACCTCGTAAGTGAAGACAGCAAAGTTGCAGGACACGAAACGAACACCCAACCTGAACTCCTACACGACCGCAGCGAGCAGCCCCAAGGGAATGCTTTAGAAAGACCGTTCACAGCAGCAAAAGAATCAAGTGTTTGGGGAAAAAACCAGCTACAGAGGCGGAAGAGTTGTGGGCTGAAAACTACAAAACATTGCTCAAACAAATGAAAGCCGTAGGTGGCCCGGAGAAACCAGGAGCATGCGCACGGCCTGGGCACACACTCATAGCTCTGGGGCGCACCCCCACACGGGGTCACTGTGTGCCGTGTGACTGTCATCTGTTTTTAAAAACCATGCTATGTGAAAGAAGCTGGGCTCGAAAGACCACATATTATATGACACTAATAACATGAAAGGCCCCAAAAAGGCAAAGCTAGAGAGCCAGGCATAGGGGAGAGGCTGTCTGGGGCTGGGGTGGGACCCAAGAGTGACTGCGAACAGGGCATGGAGGCCTTTGTGGGGTGACGGTTGCACAACTCCATACATTTACTGAAGACTGACCTGACTGTGGTAACAGCCAATTAGCCAGCACATCCTAGAGTATAAGAAGGCAAAGACTCTGTAGGGCCGAGGTATATTAATAGGAAGAAAATAATCACCACGCCCTTTATTCATTTGGGATTACAGGCAACTGTGAACAGAAAAAATTATTTGAAAAAACAATTTTTTATTTGAAGCCTCATGTTCTATTTAAACTTTAAAAAATTTAGCTCTGTAATATACTAAGATTTTCTAACTGTGAACTTGTCTTCTACAGATGCAAAAACTTGTGTAATCTGTTAGTCAAAGTGATCAAACTGGACATAACACCGCACATAGTCCAGCACACATACAGACAGGAGACCAGGCTGGGGTATGATTCCAACTGGAAAGGAATGGGGTACCTTTTTTGGATCCTGGATTTAGAGGACAAAAGTCCATCTGAGATTTGGGAAAGAGGGCCTCAGTTCTTTGGGACTGACAAACTATAGTCTCCACAGTTTTATATGGCGTAGGTAGCTGCTGTGAGCCACACTGCAGGTCCTAAGTAAAGCCAGGTAAGACTGAGGAATGTTACCAGGAGTGTTAACAGTGAAGTGCCAGTGAGTGGGGATCCAACTAACTTTAGGGTCCTGACCCACAGATAAGGCAAATAGCAACTTGTTTTCCAATTTCTTTAAAGAAAGATACATACTGAATCTTAAAAAAAAAATTGTTATTAGGTTAAAACAGATTATTATAACTTTTGGATGTTATATGTAATCTCCATGGTGACCATAAAGAAATTATCAGCAGAATACTCACAAAAGGAATTGCAAAGGGAATTAAAACTATCACTACAAAAACCCAACTAAACACAAAGGAAAGAAGTAAGAGAGGAAAGAAGGGACCAAAAAACTATGACATCAAGGAAACAATTAACAGTATGGCAACAGAAAGTCCTCCTTTATCAGTAATTGCTTTAAATGTAAGTGGACTAAATTTCCCAAAGGACATAGGTTGGAAGAATGGATTAAAAAAAAACAGGATCCAACTATATACTGTCTACAAAAGTTGTTAATTCTATATGATGAAAGATGGTAAAACCAATCAAATATACTTTCAGAAATGTTTTTTGCAATAAAAATCCCACAGTACAACTTTAAAAAGCAAAATCATATTTGCATTATAAATGAAATTTATATAGTAGTATCTATTTACTTATTCTGTATATATTTACTGAGTTCTCATTATTTCTTAGAAACTATTCTTTAAACAAAAGGATACAATGGTGAATATGACCTACATAAACACACATATATAAATGGTTTTAAATACTTGTGGCCAATTTTCATTTTCTTGTTTAAATCAACTTTCTCATGTTCCTCATGTTTTTAATAATGAGCATGCTTTTAAAAAAAAGACTATTTTTTAAGAATCTTCAAAGCAAAACATGTCCATAGTAAAATTTCATGGAATGCATAATATGAGCAGAAAAATTTCTACAACATTCTTATCACATTTTCACTCACTGAAGTTCAACACCTGATAATTGTTTGGTGTGTATTCTTTAGCAGTTTATGATCCTGCCATCTTTGCACCATATGATTGGAACAAAAGAGTGTATCTTACCTGAGATAAGACTAATATATGTAGACACATACTTAAATATTCATTTCTATGAAAAAATTCTTGCCCAACAGATTAAAGAATATTAGCAAGTATGAATGATTAGTTATGCACTGCTCATATAAAGGATAGCAGAGTAAGTAATATTCCTGTAGGAGTTTTAAAATGATGCAGAAGCTAGTATATCAAGGTAGAAAACAATTATGACTCAGAAAATTCAGAGTGTAACTTATAATTCAGACAACATAGCTCTTACAGTGTTTAAAGATATTGCTTAAGCAGGAATGGATTTCTGTACTAATGGTTAATCTGATGTGATGTTGAGATAGGGCTGTTTTCAAGAGGAGAAAAACAACTTTGAAACAATTTAAAGTTTCAACTCTTATGCAGAGGTTAAGCTAAGGGAGATTGAGAAATAGATTTAAATAAAATGCTTAACAACTAACTCAGCAATAAAAAGGAATGAACAATCAATATACAAAGCAACATGGTTGAACCTCAAAAACATTATGCTGAATAAAAGAAACCAGACACAAAAAGGTGCATCCTATAGAATTCCATTTTTACGAAACCCTTGGGAAGAGAAATATAATCTCTTGTGACAACAGATCAGTGGTTGCCCAGGGCCCAGAGTGGGAGTAGATGGGGACTGACTGGCAAAGGATAAAAGGAAACATCTGAGGTGATAAAAGTGTTCTAAAATTCAAACTTTACACTTAAGATGTGTGCATTTTTTTCTATGTAAATCACCAATGTAGTTGATTTAAATAAACAAAAACCTACACAGCTATTCTTTGCTAATCTCCAACTAAAACACTTTGAAGAAGGATAATTGAGAAGGTAGATTGATTACTTAGGTGATTCATGAATGAGATGATTCTTTCTGAAATTAAAACACCTATGAGTTTATTGCCTAGAGAAAGAGCTTGCTGCAGCATTAATTACAAGGAAATACAAGTTGAAATTGAATGATCTCTGTAAACTAATGGTAGAATGTGATAGACTAATAGAGTTTAAATCCTTATTAGCATAGGTAGAACACTACCCAACAATAGCATAATTCGATTATTTTCCATTGTATTTGGTAAGTTTCCCAACCGCAAGACAATTCAAACTTTTAAAATAGAGTATGTTTTCTGATCACAATGAAATTAAACTGGAAATCATTAACAAGACAATGAGAAACCCACCCCAAC